GTAACTGTTATAATTGATAGAAGTGTGTTATAGAGGGTATGTAGTAGATCTGACATTAATATCAGTTCCACTAGCGTGAAATTACTTTTAGGCTGGTCGATTCACAAGAAATAGTATTTTAACAGTCGGCGCTCGTCACATGCGGACATTCCGAAAAAAAAAATAATATGAAATAATACCAAGAAGTAATCTGATCTAGTTCACACTCTTCGGCGTTACATTTTAAAAAAAAATTCTTTATCAGGACCAGGTCTCTATCCCGATTCATCGGTAACAAAATTTAAATATCAGATTTATTTACGCGACAGGGCACTTTTATACTCGTCAGCAAGAGATCCATTATCTGTCAAAAAATAACTAAATAAAATGGTGTATCTTGCGCCAAAGAATAAACGCTGAAATGATCAATTCAAACTATTTTAGTGATCAGATGTTTGTTTGAATTATCTATACCAATTTGTAAGTATGATTCTAAAACGTCAAGTTGATGAAATTCCACGTTCGAAAATCACTAGAATTAATGCCAGTTATTTTTTGTACCACTTGACTCTTTTTGTACCTTTTTAAGTAACAAGTGTCCAAATATTAGTACATCTAGGTATCTTCTAGAATGTTCATGAATTCCTTAGCTAAGTAAAACTCTTTTATATGCTGTATTATTCGAACAAAATTTAAGTTGAAACTTCTTCTGCATGTTATGACATTTCTATTTGCTGCATGTAAATAAAGGTAAGTGGATTTATTTTGAAAAACCAAGGCTTTTTTATGCTCGTTTACCCATAATGGTCAGATCTCATCTGGTGGCGATACATAATTGTATATCTTTTTTATCTTCAGATTTGTATATAAATGTTTTTAACTAACTGTCAGTATCTCTATGTTTTGAGTTCTGCATTGGTATCGTCTTTAGGCGTTCCATTAGACGGCTAGCTCCTAGCGCGAAAAAAAGTCTGTCTATGCCCGTGTTCAAATCTAGACCGCAACGTGTCTCTAGGATTCGGAGGCTGCTGTATTACCCACTAAGCTATCACGGGGACCATTACACCTAAAGCATTCTTCTTTTCTGATTTATTTACTATGAGAAGGTTTACATCGGACCTCAGACAGTACAAAGTTTCCTATGTCTTATAAAGCATTTTTAAGAACCGAACTTCAAAAGAATGTGTAGACCTTTAAGTCATGCCGGGATTTTGCTCAACACGTTTAGCGCAAGCGTCTGCGTCTTCAACGTGTTTTGGTTTGACCAGGCTACAAATCTAGCAAAGAAATTTCAACGGGCCTAGTTTTATTTTCCATTCGACCCATCTCATATATGCGATTCCTTAGCGCGGTAAATCACTGAATCTCAAGTTTATATGTTCATTACATCTATGATGGAGATAATTATATCGGCACGTAAATAAAGGTATTTATCCGAAGACATTTTAGTGTTGTATCTAAATTTTTTATAGTTTTTTATAGAGAAATATGAGCAGTGAATATTTGAAAAGTTATAGCGTCTAGTTTAAAAACTATTAATCTTGGTTTCATTTGACGATCTAAATTAGCTGCGTTGTTGGGTGTGCCTTTAACATGCTGGTACCATATATCAAATGTTGCTTCTTTCTTGATGGTAAAAGAAAGCAGAAAGCCGTGTTCGTCGGGCTTTATAATTTTTAAACCCTAATCATAATGATGCTACCACTTAATTTAGCAAGGCTTTAGATTTCTAGCTCGTAAGTAAATATTGTTGCTGTTGTTATTTTTGAATAGGGCTTGCCAGTTGTTCCTCTGCTGGATAACCTTGTTTGAAGTGGCCTGCTTAGCTCTTAAGAAAAGTTCAGGATTTGTTTTCTTGTTGTTTGCTATTTCTCCTGTTTAGCGACTATTATGTCTTGCACTTTCCACTATTACTGCTTCCTACACTTATCTAACACGCGGCTCCTCGTTGTTTCAATCTGACTACTAATGCATTTTTACTACTGTACTGCAATCATTTTATAGATATACTGATAGTATTGTAGTCGTTTTCTGCTAGTAGACTCAAAATAAAGACTACGTACAAAAAAAGATTCATAGAAACAGGGTGTAACCCGACAAGAAGAAGAATCTGAAGTAGCCCGACTGTGTCTATGCTAGAAACAACTGCAGCTACCCCAGATAAAGATCTTTCCAATAGGAAAGGATCTGACACTGTTCAGGATCAATGAAACGATGTCGCAACGACATTTCAAGCTGCAGCTGCTGGTACACGGAGTAAGGTTGCTTCAACATCTGTCTGTTCGTCATATATTTAATCAGTCTTACGGAATTTTATTAGCAGCACACCTTACTCAAAACTCAAGGGTTATGAGGTTCCGTTAAAGTGGAGGCAAGATCAATTGTATGTGAGTCGCGAAACAGCTGAACACGAACGTATCGTATGTGACTAGAATATAGCAATTAATTAGAAGACGGCTTTTTTTTTAACATGGCACACTCAACTTTTTTGTATATTCTGAAAACATGGTCTGCGGTCGTGTTACAAGCTTTAGTACAGAAGTGGTCCAAACTTTCTTAAAGAATTTTAAATCTTCTATATATACAACTTCTTCAAATATCTTTTAATATATTTTAAGATGTGACCCGCTAGAAGCGGGAGTTGCACCTTCGTTCAAATGGACCAGAAAACTAATGTTTTTTTTTAAGTACTTCCTCGTAGCTATTTGGTATTCGATGGCATACCTACTAATCATAGACAACTACGAAATTCATGCAGGGCTATATATAATCAAATTGGCTGTGAAGAACGATGTCCACATCGTATACTTTCTCTTCACTGCTCAAACAGACTAGGCACTTAACATATCGGCCTTGGACTATTTAAAGCTCAGTTTTGTAGAACTCCAAAAATGAAATAAAAAGAAACCAAACGTAACCAAAATGGCAATAAGTACATTCGAAGCATTGTTTACGATGGCAAAATCGTCAAAGTGCCTTGGAGGACGGCTGCCTTTCCACGGAATAAAAGCACACTGATAGAGATGACTTTCGTTTTTCGGTAGCACGGACTGATAATTGGCCAAAGCTATGGGCCCGCTATGGAATGTCGTTCCCATAGGGTAACCGTTTCTCTTTGGAAATGTAAGCCCAGTCCCGACGCCTCGGGACTGCCCGGTTGGTCCGCTTATCGATTGATTGTTTAATCCGTGAACGCAAATCTTGCGACTACTAATTATTGTGGAATTCTGAAAGGACAACACCTGGAGCGCGACCGGCACAGTTATACCTATCTCTTTCAACGTTCCGCAGGGTCTACTACTAAAGTGATACTGAAACGAGAAGTATGTTAGTACGTTACTACGTAAGGAAAAGACGAAGGGACCAATTTCGCGAAACTAGGTTCGGAGAGGCTAGATTCTACTTGGTCGGTACGCAATTAATGTTTAAAGGGAACAGTGATATGTTGGAGACTATACATCAGTAGTGTAGTACGGATAGTAGAAACACCTTGTTGTGCAATTGTGTGTCTACAAGAAGAGATAACAGTGACCAACGACAGTCAAGTAGACGCGTTTTTGGACTCGGAAGTTTTAAAACTAAGAACTCGGCAGCTCCATCCGCAATAGCGAAACCATCCGTTACGGTTAAAGAGCCAAGGTTGAGCATAAGGGATTAAACCTGGCGATTAGGACTTCCGATTGCGACTGCTGCAAAGCCGTGGCCTAGCCCTTATGCTCGCTATATGAAGCTTTCCCGTTCTTGAACTAAGCACTTCAGTCACCGCTATATAGATCTCCATACTTGGAACTATGGACTAGCCACTACCCCCAGAAGACAGTTTTCAAGATTGCTCTTTGAACTATCACTATTAAAACACATCGTATATAACCTTCTTACGCACTTGACATACACTCATTTATGCAATTTTTTTCGATTTCATGAAACCTTACGTGCCCTGAACCAAGCACGAATGGAACTGTTACGCCGTTGAAATAACTTTATTTCTATAACCAGGTTTATTCTCATAATAAATTTAGTAAAACATTCAAACTCGGCTCGTCCCAGCCTTTTAGATTAGACTTATTGATTTTCATTCACATATACAGTCCATCTTGCCCAACAATCAAATGTCCCGTTTAGACTCTGTTAAAATTATTGATACAGTTGTACGACGCGGCATTGTTCATTATGATCCTTGTGCACGGGAGTTCACTACCCCTAGTTTCTGCTTTGATGGACTCAGCTCGTGTGCTTTCGTTAATTTCTACGTGATTCAGAAGCTATGGCGGAACTGTAGGCTGCCTCATCAAATATAAACAAGCCACGATTTCTTGTGTCGCATAAGCATACAAGTTTTCGGCCAAGGGATTTAGCTATGTGAAAGCCAATTGTGCCTATGTATCACGTGCGACTAAGACAAGCGGACAGATTCATTAGCTAATTGGCTTGGCAGGCATTGAAAGTACGAATTAAGAAAACATATTTAGTCTAGCCATTATCAAGGCAATAGACTCGTGTGCATCGATTTGCACGCATCGAGGCCTAGTTGGTTCGATACTACTTCTGTAGTGTCATTCCTAAAATAACACCATTTCCTTCGCCTAAAAACTCGGTCTCTCCATCTGCTACGCATGCATTCCCGTTTAGTTTTTAAATTTAGATAACTTATTTTATTTAATGGTAATAATTCGTTCGAATATGGTTTCGAATGTCAGTAGAACTGGGGTTTAACCATTTAGAACCACTACAACCAAGACGTCAATGACGTCCGCCTAGCATATATAGCATGATCATATACATGATATATCCTGCTATAGAAAACCCGAATTTGAAATAACTGATACAGAATGGTAATTGCTTACGCCGTTTGCATGGATCTTTGATTATTGATTAACTTTTCTAGTACTCTCATACGCAAATCCCGTGTGCGAGTATAATGAGTCTAGATAACTTTTACAATCTTTATTTTTTCATCTTGATTTCACCTTTTCTAACGTTCACGACCCTTACAAGCTTGAAGCCTCACAATTATTCTCAATACGGGGCCGGATGAAGCATTTTGGACCCTCTCATATGTGTTATGTATAGGGTTGCTGAATTTCTCAGTGAAAGCTTTGACTAAGATAGACCAGTGGCTTTCGCTTAATTCTGTTTTATTTCATCTTTTTTTTGGAGTATATTGTTCCGTAAAGCTGGAAGGCATGTCACATTTTTCAGTCATCGAATGGCATCGGAACTAGTTGCGTTTTGACGACACTCACCAATGCAGCACGGTTGTCGGTCTTCTACTATTACACGTTGAAAGAACCTGAAGATTTCTACCACTTCTGCTCACTGCTTGCAAGTGTCTTGTGTGTAGGCCAGCTGCTGTGCGTCTGACTACTTCTTGCATATTGGGCAAACTGTACTCCCAGGTGGATAAGATGTATTACTTTGTCGTATGTGTAATATTTTCCCATTAGATCTTTGCACTAGTACACTTCGCAATTAAAAAGTATTTCGCTTCACGGCGTTTACATAAAATTCCATACTTTTTCATACGATTGACAACTTAACCGTATTTAAGACAAATTATGTAATACCCAGTCATTGATTTAAGCGTACACATCGTCCGCCCCTGGAAACAAATGTCTATTCTCCAGGTATTTTTGGTAAAAGGGTTGACTATGGGCACGCTATATTACGCCCTGTGAATAGCCAGCATCCCTTGATAATCCAACAATATGACAATTTCTTTTTCTATCGATTGTTGACAAACCTTCGATATTCGACGTCAAAGGCCTATCCAATTGATTTGTGCGTGTGTTTGCTTTGTTTCCCTTGCTGGTTCAAATTCAGAAGTTGTAAAAACGCAGACTCTTATTCCCAGCAAGATGGCTATGTCGGTACCAAGCTTTGTACACCGCGTCAGGCTAATGTTAGTGCGGATCCAATTCGCAGGTTTACATGGTAGCGACAGCGGCCGTAACCATAGTGATAAGATACGGGTAGCAGTAACGGCCGAGACCATTGCAACAAACAACACGTCTTGTAGGCCTTTTCGTCGATAAGAGGCACAGATATCGTAAATTTATATTTCACTGATGCAAAAGATCGAATAGTCAAAATAATATATAGTATATAAATATAATATAAAATAATATATAATATATAAAAATAGGAAAATACCACGCCATGTAATACCTTTAATCGGGGCTGACACTTTGCGTTGTATAAGACTCTTTATAGTTTCGGTGAAAAATCCAAATGGGCTTAGTGATGCCGTGGGCCTCCTTCTGGGTGGCTTAATGATACTTCAAGGTTCAGATCCGAGGTGATATAATATACAAAGGGTAAGTACTGAGAATAGTTGAGCTCAATGCTGTAATCTCTTGAGCGCTTCGTTGATGGTTTGTTCAGAATACAACGTGCATGTACCGTAAGCAGACGGTGCTTTTTCCGCTTATTTCTTTGCTTTTTCCTCTGTCTCATCGGTATACACTGCGAATCAGCTGCTAAAAACGTATACTTCATGAATTAAAGATATATGATATGAAAATAAGATTTCTTTTAATATAATTTCTATCTTTTAATATAAAGTCTGTAATGGAATGCTCTATAAAGTTCATCCAGTAATTGGTCCTTTCAGAGTCTGCCCGTACCTTCTGAAAAGGAGCAATAATGACATAAATAGTTTAATGGCTATCAGCTCAATGCTGTACCCTCTGTTCCAGTACGTCTTTATACTTAAACTAACATAGATGATCTTGATATAGAGCAAAGGCTAAATCTATTTTACCCTTTTGTAAACCGCCAGACTCGCTTCTTTCACCAAGGTGTTTCGACCTTTGTTGGTCATGTTCAGGTGGACAACCACCCCATTTATTTCTTGCGTCAAGCGGTAGTTTGCGTAAGATCTTGTAGTGAAAAAATTGGAATTGTAACTTAAAAGTAACAATTTCATACTTACGCAATATACAATACGGGTGACGAGCGGCCTTTTGGAAAAAACAACTCCAGAAAGATTACCTTTCTCGAAATTGTGTGATTACCGGAAAAATCTGAAAACAAATATTTTTTAGATTAACTTCTTTTGCTATCACAGAGATGATGCGAACATAAAGCGAGGTTAAAAACAAGTGTTTGTCATCATTTAACTACAGTGGGTTTTATGTAACGTTACAATGTAAATTTAATTCAGTAACTATATTATCCCCACTTTTATCCAGCGATATACTCTACTTATTATTCACGTGTGTATATATATCATATATAAATTCATAGGTGTAAAAGGTATTACTTGACTATTCGTCAATTTAAATACCGATAATCGTTATGTTTTCTTTGTTATTTATTAAGAGGTTTAGAAATTAGGCTAAATAGCTCCTACGGAACCCGTTCGAGCACCAAATTGATTGAACATAGTTACGAGTAGACAATAACGTAATCTGAGTTGAGGTCAGAGACAAGTGACTTGAGTAAATTCACCCGTTTCTGTTCCACTTTTGTTGTTGATGCCACAGCCAGTGCAGTCAATGAGAGCTAACAGCAGATATTGTTTTCTACATCCATCGAGGTAACGGAAACGGTGCATCGTTGTTGTCGTCCTTTTATTTTCATCCGATCCGAGTTATTCTGCGCAGCTAAAACCCTTAAAAGCTATCATAGCAAGCAACGGGTAATCGAGCCATGCCAGATGGTAAATCGAGCTAGATTTATCTATATATAGTACCGTCGAGTAGGGATAAAATTTCACTAATGCGCTTTTTGGTTCGTTCGTTAATACCCTATCTTCAGCCGAAGTCACCTACTTTGAGTTCTTCAAAGTCGTTTTAGAATAGAAAGTAAGCACTATAGACATCGCTTCAAATCCAAGGACATTCTGCCAGAGAAAAAAAATGTTTGAAATGTATTGCTGTTTATAAAACAATGCTTAAACTGTCGAAGTACGTTCTGCTGCGGAATGCTTTAGCGTTCTTCAGATAGAGTGTTTATTAGCTCTTAGATTAGAAATAGCAACACCAAATTGGCCAAAAATCGATTACGGTTAAACAAGTTATGCACAAACCAAAGATCTTACTAAGCATCTTAGTGGATCTAAAGAAACGTCACTGTAATACATGTGGGCGTAAAAAATTTACCTAGATTATTTATGTTTATTAATTTTTTATTTTTGTTTATTTAAGAAAAAGTACTGCATCGATTCGGATCCTAAATACTCGATTTGTCTAGCCAAGGAAACAGCAGTCTTATTCTGAGTGTATTTGAGCCCTTTGTCTTTAAGTATGCATAACTATTACTCCGAGATTTATTTCACACGCCATTGGCCTTTTGACTTATATATTTTGCAGTATTATTTAAATTACTTATACTAGATGCACCTTGTAACATGAAACCACTTTTACGACATAGATTCTCACTTCGTTGTATGGGTGTCTTCACTACTGTTAATTGAATCTGTACGTACGACCCGAAAAATTTAAAAGGTTGCCCACTTCGCATTTTTTGCTTTGTTGTTAATTTCTTCCGATAAATTTATTAACTAAAATGCATCTAGCTTTTTTTGCTTCCAATAAAAGTATATAACATTTCCGAACCATATTTTTCAAAAAATCACACACGTATTTGAGGAAAAAGGTCAACTTTGTGCAATTAGGGCACCCAAGAACAGTTATTATTATTCGATATTATCCTTCATTTGTGTGCTAGAAACAGTGAACTTCAGTATTTTAGATGATACCGCGATTTTAGTTGTGTTAGTTTGAGTTAGACGGAAATTATGTACGTTCAACCAGAAATTGCTGTTGGTTAATTTGACTAATATATTTATAGATATTGTTAGCGGATGAATTCCAACTTTGAAGAAGTAACTGAAGATCAAGAGTTGAACAAAATCAAACGAAATAAAGAGAAACGATTTTACAAGCTAGCCCGTTATATTCATAGATTTGGTACGCTAATAGTCATTTTCCTTAGAAAAATTTACTTTGTGGTCTAAAAAAGGGTCTATCGTATGCCAGAGGTGGATATTGACTTCATGAAGACAACATTTTAAGGCTCATTGCTAGCTTCTCTATTCCTGTGGATGCCATAGAATAGTTTTGTATTCCGCGCTTTACGCACGGTATCACCGTTGGGCTTCCTATCTAATGACTGGCGCTCAGCACGCAAGGAAGTCTACCTAAGCCCGAATTCGAACCTAGACCACAACGTGTCCCTAAGAATAGAATAAGATAAAGTCTTTTGACTGAATAGAATACGCCTTAGGAAGCTGAATGACGAAAAACAACGTTTGATGATGACAGAAGACTACTTACGGGTAAAGTAGCTTCAACTGTAATACACACGACATTCACACTTAGTTTACTTCAGACTAGCGCCATAATAAACTCTTATTGATGGTTATATATGTAAAGAAAACAACAATAAAAAGAAACTTTGCACAATGCACGAGCTATTTATGAATATTGATACAAATATGAATGGTCAGCATTGTCAGAAGCTATAATTGAGTGGCAATAAACATATAATAACAGTTTAGTAATCATTAACTGCATTGTCTTTGCGTGCGAATAATACCAGTTTATTTATTTGGTATCTTCACTGAAACCGTAAGCCTGTTATAGTTGCTACTAAATGGTAAAAGGTTTTGTTTGTACAGGTTAAATTTTCGTAGGATGTCAAAGAAAGATATCTATAAGGCAGATTATAGTATAAATTAATGAACGCTCAGAGACCATGCCGCTATTCTAGATAATAGCCGATAAACAATAGTCTTGATCGTATAAAAGTATCGGTCTCATTAAAACTTTCCTACGCTTATTCTGTCTCTAACGTAACATGAGAAATTTTCCTAGAGATTGAAATACAGCATTGTTGGTTGTTATTTCCTTAAAGGTGTCACTTTGCTTGATATCTTAACTATTTCGATTAGGTAGAGCAACACGAATCGATAAATATAATGTTTTAAGCGTCTAAGAGTATTTGCTTGTAGTGTTGAAAATACTATGAGACGATACCTTTTGATGCTTATTGTATGTTGTACAATGGTGACAATAATTAAGATTCAAATGGGGCGTAATTGTAGAGTAGTTTTGTGTTGTGAGGGTGCAATCTGAAGAAATGCCTTATGGCTCGAGTACCAAAAAAAGCATTTTCAGGTCTTATAAGTGAAAAAAATATTAGTATTGATGTAGATTTAAGTTGCGAAATATGGAAGAAGCAATACTTTCAATTTAAAATTTTAGGTCTTGAAACGACCTTTTCAACCATTTCACATAAAAAAACAGAGTTTGGGCTATAGTGTGACGGACGGCGACAAACGCACAATGAGATGTTTAAGTATGTAAAGGCGACTTGGTTCCATTTTGTTACAAAATGAAGATGATACGACTCGTCAACAGCACACTTGACCACTAACTGGCCTAGTTCCTGTTCTGCGGTTTTACTATTCTTCCGCATCTTCTATAGGAAAAGTACCAACTTCAGTGAATTGAGTTGACTTTAACTCAAAACCTTTTCGATAGTTGACCGAGATGTGTGACGACTATCTTGAAGTAGTATGACTACGTTATCAAAGAATAATCAATAAATTAAGAGATTATTTTACTATTGACATAGTACATGTTATTGCAGTTTTAAACAATATTTTTCTTCAGCGCAATATGCACTCTTTGAGACAATGGGTAGGGCAAATGGATCAACCAAATATTCCAATTCCTTTAGTATTAAAAATCCATCCAATTTACTACTGTACTACACAATACTGTCAAGAACCTGTTATCATGGAAAAATCGAGCCTTTTTTCATTAACACTTCGATTGAACACTGAATCATGTCAGGTTTATATTTTTGAAAACCCACTGTCGCACGAAGCGAACTATTTTTGAGTGCTACCTGTAATTTACGCTTTTAAAATGAGTCATAGTTTAATTGTAACCGAGGCAACTTACAAAGAATAATAATTATGTTTTCTCCAAAAAAGGTTGTATCAGATTTTCCTAGCAAAATTCTTGCTAATATAGTTAACCTTAGCTTTAGATTATTGCGCCTACGTTTGTCAATATTACATTTAAATCAATATAACAAAAGCGCATATATGGAAATGTAGTATTGTGTGAAGATTAAATGGAAAGGGTCATTTTGTATTTCTCTTCAGCACAAAAATGAACTAAGCGCTGTTTAATGCTGATCTAAGTGTTGAATATGAATGTAATATCTAAATACTTGCAAGTGCGTTGGTTATGTCCAGAAGATGAAATTATTTGAAATGAGCTCTCTAGAGATTAAAAGCAGATAATTTGTTAAGCTCCGTCGACTGAATATATTAAAAAGCCTCTATTGATACGCATTTGTAGAGATGGGTTGAGGGTCGGGAAGGGTTCCTGTGATAATCGTAAGTGAAAAGTATAGCCCCAAGATAAGCCAGAAAAATTGCCAATAGATAGTGCATATATAGGGCGTTTCAAAACTCCCAACCATTCTTAATGAAGCAGTACACATAAGTACCGCATTGTTCCCAATAAGACCATGGGATTCACTTTAGGTTTAAATTTATAAATAAACCTTGGCAGATATTACCGGGAGAAATACGTAATTGAGTGAGCAAAAAAGTGTCTGCTTCTTTAACGCAGTATTTATCTAAAATAAGTTGATTACAATTAACATTTTCTAGTTGAAAATTACAAGTAGTTTCACCAAAATGTTTGCTTTAAAAATTTGTATCATGGTCAGAGACCGTCAAATATTCGCATAAAGCTGAGTTTTCGCTGTTTATTTACCCATACACCACTGAAACTAGCGAAATGTTAAAGTAAATTTTAGTTGAAATATTTTTTCAACGCTATTGAGTGTCTTGGCAAAACTCAAAAAATTGTCAATTTAGTAACTAAATTATCTGCTGATACCTAAACAAGTGCTTGAAATGGCAACTGCTAACTATAACGTATGCTTGATTCCGAAAGAAAGCGGTACATGTTTTGCAAGATATTGGGTATTCCTACCTTATTATCGCAACCTTATTTACCAATGGCCAATTGGTACAGCAAATTTCGATTTTGCTGTACTAAATTAGAGCTTTCGGTATCATTCTTTTAGCTTAGATTGGGCGCATTGGCCAACTATTGGCATTAGCCGATATAGCAATAGAATACGAAGTCTCTTCTGCAGCGTTTGACTTTTATGAATTTGAAAATGAGATTCCCTCGCATTTAAGTGGTCCCTGTCGGCCGAAACACTCAGTACTCCCAGATTCCTACCATAATGGAGGGTCTTAAAGTAGTTTTGATACAAAACTATTCTTCATCATTTGATTTATTACTACCAAGTTTTTTCACTGACTGTTTGAAATAGATATGAAAGGAAAAAAGAAGAGTTTTTTTTAGATGCGCATGTTCTCATTTTCACAATCAAAGCATTTCTAATACAATCACCTATTATTTAACTAACAGGTACCTGCCAATTTTTTTTTTCAAAAATTACTTTGTATGTGAAAATTCATAATTGGAAAAAACGACATCAGAATTTTGAAGTTTTCTATTGTGATTAGTTTGTGTTTGGGAATTGGCCCGCCCTAACCCCAAAGCTACCCCAGACGACCTCCAGGACCACGAAGCGTATTAGAAATTTCCAAAGTTATCATTATAATGCCAGAA